TGGAACAACATGAGGGTGAGTAAATACTGACAGAATTTTTATTTTTGGGTGAACTATCCCTCTAAGACTAGAGTGGAAAAAAGTTTTAAATATTATGGAACCTAAAAAATATTCTGTATCCATGAAGCTTTCTATGGAATTTAAACCTGATAGTGGCCGATCACAGATTTGGTGACTATCTAAATCGCCAATTACATCCATTCATCCCTCGTTCATCACTCTGTTTGTCTGTCGAATGTTTGCTGACGGATCAGAGCCATGGATCCATTCCAGCGCTTTTCCACATGATTAGATGGAACTAATTATTCTCACATCTCACGCTCAGTCTGGAATAAACTAATTACCCATCTCTTAATGAAAGGAGAAAGGATTCCTGCAAGAACTCCTGCAAACGCCTTTCTGTGCCGCTCTCATTTACAAATATTTAGTTGGAAGTTAATTGGATGTCCAGAATTTTGAAAAAAACAACAAACCGAACAGAAAACAAAGCAAAAGCATGTATGTTGAAAAAAAAAGTGGAGTGTAACATTTGTTTTACCGTAGGGAGCAGCACATTGCTTTTAATTGCTCGCTTGATTAATAGATCTGATTAAACGAGAGCAGTGATTAACGTATGTGACAGAGGAGAGGAAGCTCATGTAATTATAACACAAATCATTAATGTAAATATGAAAACAAGATTATGCCGGTTATCTTATGGGCAGGGATTGACCTGCCCACAGCAAATAGCGTGTGTATAAATTGCCTAATCTAGGACCCTTAAAGGAGTAGTTCACTTGAAAAAAAAACTTTTGCTGATAATTTACTCGCCCCCATGTCATCTAAGATGTCCATGTCATACTTTCTTCAGTCAAAAAGAAATTAAGGTTTTTGAAATTGAGAGTTTTAGTGCAGCTTCAAAGGGCTTGAAACGACACCAGACGATGAATAAGGGTCTTATCTACCAAAACGATCGCTCATTTAAAAAATAAATAAAAGTTTAAGTTTTATAAGCACAAATGCCCACCTTGCTCTGTTCTGTGATGCACATCCGTGACTCTCCTGTTCTCCTGTCCTGTTTTTTTTAAGTGAAATACTCCTTTAATCAGTTTGCTGCACGATATATTGTTCACTTTCATTTAGAAATAGCCATTTTTGCATTTGCAAAGGCATCAAACAAATTTTAACTTTTTTTAACAACAATAATAATGCATACTCAATATTTAAAAATAAAACTTTTTAAAAATGTAACGCGCGCACACACACACACATTTTGTCCCCATAATGTAGGGTTTACCAAACCCCAAAACACACACACACACACATATATAAATATTTTTTTTTATTAAAATACATATTTTTATTTGACATGTAAAATATATAAAGATCATAAATCAGGCCCCATTATTTAGTCGACAAACCCTGTGCTCCATGTGTCCAGTCCAATAGGGAGCAAATAAGCCCTGTCTAGTCTTTATGAGCCATCAAAATCTGGGGATGTTCCTTCGGGCTGCTGGTGATTAGGTCACAGGTCAAATATATACACTGGGGCCGAATACTTTTCTCTGGACATGTGTCTCCTTTCCTCACCCCAAATACCTAACCATGAGCCACAGTCCACGGGTTTCCTCTCATTACTGTGATGCATTTGCTCCCTGAAGCCTGTTAAACCAAATACAAATACAAACAGACATTTTCTACAAGAGGTATCCGGGGACAATCGTTTTCCTCTTTCCATTTTTTTTTTTTTAACAGTTGTGTTCAGGGCACAATGGGGAGATGAAAGAGAGGATGCAGTGCAGAAGTTCACAGACAGGACTAATACCAAGCAAGAGAGACAGAAACTCGAGGGATGTGTTCAGAAAACAATAACATGCAAAGTACGCAGGACTACAAAGGGCACACAGCGAATTTTAATCAAAACAAAAACGCTCTGATAATTGCTGCCGAGTGAATTGTGCGGCTCTGTGTGAACGCGCCTGTTGTCTTCGCAGAGATGGTTTTGCTCTCTGCCGCTTCTCGACATTGTTAATGAAATGCAAAGATGTGAATGCTCAAACGAGTCAATCCTTTGCTAGTCAATAAACCTTTGAGCTGAACAACAACCCGGGGAATAGCGATTAAGCAAGACATTCTCTAAAACATCTTTTTCCTTGAAGAAATGAACTGTCATTTACTCACCTTCATGAAGTTCCAAACCTGAATGACATTCCTTCTGTGGAACACAAACATATTATATTCATGAATTAAATATTAACATTGGTGTCCTTGCTTATATACTTTTCTAAATGTAGCAACAGACTAAGGCTATGTTTACACGGAAACAATTCTGAAGAGAAAACGCAAACGTGGTGTTGCTTTATCACTTTTTATTATGCGTTTAGACGAGAGTTTTGGGTGGGAAATCCGTGTGCATACAGTGACACAAAAGTGTGTGAAATTCAATGTAGTATGCACTCCAGGCGGCTAGGTGGCGATGTGAAGCACTGCCACACAACAACACCAAGTCCATGCGCCTGCGTAAAACCTTCACTGTCAAGCATACTTCTGCGTTTTTTACCCTGTACATGGGAGCGCGGCTGTGGAGCGTTTTTAAGATTTCCATTCTGAAGGGGGGTTTCACTTTTTTGTGTTTTAAGCAAAACACCGTCGCCGTGTAAACGAAAGGCACATCCGATAAAATATTTTTACGTTTTCACCCGCGAGTGTTCTCCTGTAAACAGGGCCTAAGGCCCCGTCCACACTACTGCGTTTTCGTTTAAAAACGGAGACCTTTTGCTACGTTTGCACCACCCGTCCAGACTAAAACGGAAAAAACGAAGACCTAAAACGGAGAAGTTTAGAAATGCTGTATCCCGGAGGGCGTTTTATTGAAGACGGAACAAAACCATAGAATGTAAAAATATGGACAAAGCGTCTGTGACGTCACCCGTAGACTTTCTGAAGAACAGTTTTTGAGGCTGTTTATTGGGGGTATGGGCGGCGCCATCATGGAAAATCTTGGGAAATTTAAAATACAAATGTTCAGAAAGGATACAGAGGTGGTATGATGTGTCAGATCATGGCCGAGACGTCAAATTCCACTTGGCTCAACCTGTTATCAGCTGTCAATCAAAGTTAACCGCCCTTATTTGTCATACATTTCATATCTAAATTTGATCTAAACTAACGAGTTGGAGAAAAATTCACCCCCCTCACAGTTGTCAGGCACTCGAACCTATCGAAAAATACAATAAAAGTCCATGGGACCGAACTGTAAACATAAGAATTTATGCTGTGAAAACGGACATTTTAACATGGCCTATGGACATTTGCTCCCTTTTGGGACCTAGTGGATTTTAGATGTATTGCAGTTTTTCGCACTTCCGGGTAGGCTTTATTTTTCAGATTAGAATGTTGCCGCTTGAACAAAACGGACGAGTTTAGAAACGATGACGCAGAGGCTCGCGTTCGGCTCTATGATTGGGTGTCATCGGTCATGACTTGTCCTTCCCTGATTCGTCAGCCACCCATCACATGACCCGTTTCCTGTTTACACCGGTACGTGCATGCCCAGTGTTGGTGAATGGTCGCGTGATCCACGTTTTCAGTCGTTTTAATGTAGACGGAGATCAATTCTAATACTCAGATAAAACGCAGGTGTGGACAGAGATCGTATTCGTTTTGATTCTCCGTTTTTAAACGAAAACAGCCCGTTCTCCTCCCAAGACGTCATCTAACTGACGCTTTTGACCTTACGTCAACATCCGACGTTTTAGGGCACCCTTTAAAATCAGTAAGATGACGCTATCTAACCCTAACTATACCTCAGACCTAAACCTACCCGCGTCATCTAACTGACGCCAAAGATAAAGAGTCAGTTAGATGACGCCCTAGGATAGCGTCATCTAACTGACGTTAAAGGGTGCCCTAAAATGTTGGATGTTGACGTATGGCCAAAAGCGTCAGTTAGATGATGTCTTGGGATGAGAATGTGTTGACGAAAATGCAGTAGTGTGGACGGGGCCTGCTAACAACTAAAAATGGGTTGGCAGTATTCCAGAAAAAAACTTCTGTGGGTCAATGTTCCAAGAGCAAACTTAATCTCAGAATTAATCTTAGTTCAGCGGAAGTTCTTAGTTTTTAGATCAGGGAGTGTTTTTGACAATGTTGTCTTCTGTACGCAAAAAAAACACGTAGTAAAACCGTTTCTGTTTTTAGTACATCGTTGTGTAAACGTACCTTTAAACGGCCACAGGACAGTTCATCAAGGCTATGACATCAACAAGGGAAATTACCATAAGTGAAGCAGGAAACAAGCATCAAGAAACGTCTTCAAAATACATCCAGTAAATGAAATTTAAATATAAATTAGATTTACCATTAGATTCTTTTACTCTCTTCTTACACACTAGTTTATTCCCCAAATTTGCTATTTGAACATTGTTGAGTGAAAAATTGCTTGTTTTTCATAATCTGTAAGCCGCTTTGAAGCATAGGCCTATGCTAAATGATTAAATGCAACTGTGATTAAATGCAAAATTTTGTGTCTAGTGATAAATTGTTGGTAAACATTGATACATTTATAATAAAAATACTGCTAAATTAAATATCAAAACTGAAAAACACAAAAAAAAGCACAGAAATGTCTTTTTGACAAAATTTCAAACAGATGTTCCTTCTCTTCGCTTAAATATTTCAATTACATTCATTAAAAACAGTCAAGCGCAAGTAAAACAAGTAGAGCTTCGTCTCTCTCTCTAGCACTGGAAAACAGCACTATTCACTCATTTCTAATTCTGTCTAATAACTCGAAACAACAGGTGGAGCCTTTCACACACTACATACTGAATCAATCATCCACACACAGCAGGCTAATGTTGTTTTGATAAGCATTATACACACCCAAATATGTTTTCCCAAAGTTTAAACCTGAAGGATGTCATTTAAAATACAGTGTTAGTCATCAATATTATTGGTTAAAATTTACATGTCATTTTAACACAAGACACCTTGTGTTAAAAAAGGAAGGAGACAACAGAGAAAAGACAATGATAGTTTATTTGTAACCTTATCTTGTGTATGAACTACAAACTCTGATTTCTATAATCGAACTCCATCTTTTTTTTTTTTTTTTTTAAAGGTCATGAAATAATGTTTACATGAAAATCAATCCAGTCGTCTTTTACAGCATATCTCGCTCTCTTTTTTTTGTTGTTAAATCTTTTAGAACAGGTTGGCACATGTAAAATTAAAATTTAAAAAGTTTTTGTTTTGTTTTTTTTGTTTTTATTTTCAAAATGTATTTTTATAGAAATCTACCACTAGAACAGCATTCCCTCTCAGAGACGAAAAGAAAGAAGTTACGTGGAACGGAGAGAAAAGCATCTCGTTCCCTCCTTAACCGAAACCCAAAACACAGATGTGTTCACATGATGGGATATAACAAACATACGGAAAAAAAAAAAAAAAGTTTTCCAAAAATTGGCAATTTAAGACAATGATCCAAATCCTGAAACCAATCAAATAAAAATGCAACTGAAAGCAACACTCAACTCAATGACTTGGTTTACTTTTGTGCTAAACTTCATAGACAATAAGGATCTTATTTCACTGTAATGAACGGATTGACCCCAATTTCAGTGACAACACAAAATAAAATCAGAAAAACAAAGTGATTTGAGATTTGAAAAAGCAGCATATTCAGACGAAGAACAGTCTTTTTTTTTTGCACGCTTGGATATCTTGATGAGGACATGTACCAGATGGCCTATGCTTCTAATGGGCAGGAGGTACTCTCAAAAACTTTTTTGGAATGAAACTGAAATAGCAAAGCTGACCAGAATAATTGCATTAGATATTTTCAAATCAGAGTGCATCTGGTATGTGAACAAAATATGATACTAAAATGTACACCAAATGTCACATGGTATCATTCAGCATCTATATTAAGAACAGAAAAGCAAGAGAAAAATCTTCCTGTGCGATTTGCATTAATTATGAATGGCCAAAACGAAACACTACGAATCTGAATAAAATGTCACAGGTTTATTGGTTTACTTCAAATTACCTATAGCCCTCAAGATTGCTTTATAGATTAAATGATGCACTTCAGATGAGTCCACTTTGGTCCCATCACCCCGCCTCGCTCTCCAGTTTGACTCTGAATGCATTTACAGTGTCAAACCAATGTCTACTCACCGCCCCCCACCCACCCTGTCCAAGGTCATTGGTTTCTATAGTGACCATCTTAGGCCATTCTGATTTTCATAAATTAATGCATAATCTCAAGTCATCCACCTCTGCAGCCAAAGGCTAGAGTAGGTCTAAAGCCAAATATGAATGTATAATTCTCGGTCTGTGACGAAAAAAATTAAATAAAAGTGATTGAACATGTTTAAAAAGAATTGCATAACTGCCTATACAAAGATTGACAGCGATAGATGGAATATGGACGGAAAAAATAACACAGTCGGTTTACTGAATCTATAAAGACAAACCTGTGGCATCTTTGGAAGCCTTAGATTTGAGCGCCACTGACTTTGCCCTCTTGTTTAGGGTTCTATGTCTGGCTTTTAGATTATCCCAGAATGAATTCATTCAACTGTATCCATGGACAGCACCAATAAAAAATGGATTGAAATGGAAATGGTGCTACATCAGTAAATTTTCCATACTTTCTCCACATTTCTACTCGGTCAACCTTTGAATAAAGGCCTACAGTCTTCGGCCTCCTGCCCATGTAGCATTTGGCATAGAATGAGTGTGCTGAATCTATGTATGAGTATTGGGAAACTTTAGTAGGGTATCAAGGGTGAACTGCCACAGGAACTCACAATGTTGTTTACTATGATAAAGAAGATGAAGAAAACAGTTTAATAACGTGAAACTTATTTTAAGCAGGAGATACCTTAAAATGCATTTAAGAGCAAGTGGGTAGACCCCGAATGCTAACTTAATCCATAAATCTTCTGGTCCGAGCACAGAAACAATTTGAAATTAATTGCCCTGCATGCATCAAATAGATATGTGTTCCTGACATTTGGCCCGGTTTTAAATGGGGACATGTTTCCAGGGCTATTTGTTCTAAATTTTAGGCCAGGTATACATCTGCGTATAATTTGTAGCAGTCATCCCTGCTGAAAAATTAGCTGGTTTAAGCTCATCTACAATGTAAAAAGTGTCCAAAACCGTTCTAAAACCAGCCAAACAGATGAGCCTGACCAGGCTGAGATACCAACTATGACCAGCAAACCTGCTTAATCTGGTTTAAAAAGCCCAATTTTCAGCAAGAGTAACTGAATAATGTGATTTGGTTAAATGTCGTTAATTAAGGGGAGTCAAAAAAAGAATTAACAAGATCATTTTAAACAGTAATAGGGTGGAAAGTTTTCTAATATGACAATCTATAACCTAATATTTTAAAAGTATTGACACTAAATGTGAATCTTAAAGTTTCAGACAGATGGAAAGGTTTCAGATTCAACTGCAAATGACTTTGAATTGGGTTCTTACATTTAGAACAGAGTTTAAAAGCAAATTAGTAAACCAACAACTCTTAAAATAACATTCAAAAACATGGAGAAATAATTGCTGGAAAAATAATTGCTGATTACATCTTTTCTCGATTAAACCACAATAGTTATTTTCCTTAAATAAATAACTTCTGTTATGTAAAGACACTTTTGAAACGGTTGACGTACACTCAACTCCCAAAGTCCTTTTGTACCTGTCAACATCCTTCTTATACGTCTTGCATCAGTCTACTGTCTTTGTTTCGACAATCTTCAAAATCGATATGTCACATACTGTTCCTTAAGAGTTTTAGAGGTCTTTTTTTTCTTCGTTTAATCCCCATTATGAAAAGCAGTTCAGATCTGGGTTTCTTGTACATTGTCTTTTGAGCTGGCCCGAATTAGCAAAGGTTCGTGGGCGGAGCTGTGTATAGAATTGATGGTGGAGGCGTGATTGTACACAGTCTTGTAAGCAGTGTAATGATTCAGGTGCTCATGCTCCAGTGGGGGAAGGGAGAGGTGGCCCTCCATGGTAGGTCCACCCGTCACGCAATCCTCATCTACATTGATAATCTCAATGCTTCGTGTCGGTGCGTTGTGGTTTTGCTGGTGGTGCTGTTTGCGCATTTTATAAAAGATGATCAGCATGACGGCCGCCATCAGCGTTATGGCCACAAAGCAACCGATGATGATCTTAGTGGTCTTCATGACCTCATCCAAGGTGTTGAGGGAACCGTCGATCAGGGCCGTGACAGGGATGGTGTAGGTCTTATCGGTGGCCTTGGTGGACAGTGGCGTCCGTGCTGTGGTGGTGGTGGTGGTGGTGGTGGTGAAGGAAGGTGGTAAAGTCTCCCAAATTCCAGAAGAAGGAGTTGGGGCGCCTTTCTGCTGTACTGTTGGGTGGCCCTCATCATGTGACGATTCTGTGGTCTCGACGGTAACTGTAGTGAAGTAACTGAAGCTGCTGTTCTCTGTCGAAGACACATTAAGAGTAGCGGAGGCTGTTGTGTTGCCTGCGGAGTTGCTCACCATACAAGTGTATGTTCCAGTGTCCTGCATCGTGACATTGGTAAAGTTTAACGTCCCGTCGTTGAGCACGGAAATGCGTATCTTGTATGCCCCGTGCGTCATGATGGACCCATTGGGCGTGATCCAGCTGACCGAGGTCAAAGAATTCGCTCGACATTTCAGTTCTGCTGCCATTCCCTCAGTCACGTTCAGGTCCGCCGGGGGCTCCACGATCACCGGTGCATAACAGTGGAAATAGTTCTGGTCAAGTTCGCCGATGTAGCGCCCTTTGTGGCTGGTAGGTGACGCACAGCGGGCACAGCAACTGGTATTGGCCGGCACCATTTCCTTTAGCCACCAACTGAGCCAGAGGATGTCACAGTTGCAGTTCCAGGGGTTGTGGTGCAAATGTACCCTCTCAACGTGGTGTAGTGGGGTGAAGAGGTCATGAGGCAGGAGGGTAAGGTTATTGTGGGCCAAATTGAGCTCCACAAGGGACTGAAGATCATCAAAGGCATTTCTCTCGATAGTCTGGATCTGTGCATGCATCATCCACAGTTTCTGTAAGTGGACAAGGCCTTTGAAAGACCCTGGCCTAATCACAGAGAGCTGGTTTCCTGACATCTCCAACTCATCCAAACGAACAAGAGGAATAAGGTTGGGGATCTCCTTCAAGTTGCACATGCCCAGGTTCAGGTACCGCAGGTTGCTGAGGCCTTCAAAGGCACCTTCTGAAATATAAGTGAGCCTTTTCAGCTCGCCCAAGTCCAGCCTTCGCAGCGATGGTACGCGGTTGAAGGCATACGAGGGTATACTCTCGATAGGGTTATTCCTCAACCAAAGCTCCTTAAGTTTGGACAGGTACTCGAAAGCCCCATTGGGGATTGTGGTCAAACGATTATCGAAGAGTTCCAGAGTGTTGAGGTTGGCCAGCCCGTTGAAAGCTCCGATTTCAATGGTGCGGATGTGGTTTTTGCTGAGCTGCAGGATCTCCAGGTGCCTCAAATGCTTGAAGCTGTCAACCCTAATCACCTGGATGAGGTTCTCCTGAAGGTTCAGGTACCTTGTGTTGGTGGAAATACCATCAGGTACATCTCGAAGGGAACGCCGTGTACAGATGACCTTGCTGAACTGGTTGCTACAAGAGCAGACGGAGGGGCAGGTCTGCGCTCGCACTAGGCCAGCCACCACCAGAAGCTGCAGGGCCAGTGACAGCACGAACAATGGGTCGGACAGGGCCCGGTTCCACCTAGGACCTCTCATCGTCTGCTGCATCAGGGAGGAGGTCATCTTGTTTATCATTCATAATTCGCTGACAGGTTCTCCACTCTTTGGGAAGGGTTATATTAGGCCAAACTGCAAAAAAAAGAGAAAGAACCATGTAAGGTTTGGAATACTAACTGACTGACACAAATCAATGCTAATACAGATAGATAAAACATACTAAAATGTCATAATACTCTTATGACAATGTCAAATGCTTATTTGCTCATACTCTTTGGTGCCTGATTCACTAAATTAGCTAAAAACACTGCCATAAAAGCTGTGCTGCAATCAATTTGCAAGGAGCAAATCTCCACTATAAGGGCTTAATTGTCTAATAAATAAGTACATTGGAAAAACTAGGGAAAAAATAAATAGCATAGCAATCTTGAGAACATTCTTTGTCACATGAACACACAAGCACAGACAAACGTACAGAGGAACAGCCAGTCGCTGCACTCTAGCAATGAATACAATAGCCACACAAGTCCCTTATAACCCAGTGGAAGTTAATCACAGACAAAATATTTTTCACACACACATGCATCGCAGGTGACCTTCAAGAGTGTTTCATATCCATTTCATTTTTTTTTTCTTTGTTCACATTTTTTGAGTGCGTGTGGTGTCTGTGAGTTCATGTCTTTGCACACACACCACTTTCAATCTAAGTCACATAAAGCTGCACCGCAATATTGGGTCTGCTTTATATGTTTCTTCCTCTCCACAGTCAGGGAGATATGAACTGCCTTGTCTGTCTGTGTCACTTTATTTATTCTAGCAGAGGAGGCATAAATAAAAGCACAGCTTCCCACCTACCGATCCTTCAGTCAACCCTACATATCTAAAGCGAACACACACTTAAAGACACGCGTGTGACTGGACTGAGAATGAAACCTGAGACAAGAAGTGTGTGGACAGACGCATGTTGTCACAGCTGAGTATGTGACTCACTTTAATGATACTGAAAGGAACTGGTCAGGTCAACTAGTTTATTAGTCATCAGCCAGCTGACTAGTCATTTGGTGTATGGCTTTAGAGAGTCTAGTTTTTTTCTTCACATTTGTTTTAGCTTTAGCATTTTTAGCATGCATTTACATTAGTATTTATTAGTGCTGTCAAACGATTAAAATATTTAATCGCGATTAATCGCATTAATGTCATAGTTAACTCGCGATTAATCGCACATTTTTATCTATTCTAAATGTCTCTTGATTTCTTTTTGTTACATAATTTTTTTCTCATTTTAATGCTCTTATCAATATGGAAAAGCGGAAAAGTGGAAAAAATATTATTGAAAATAACATTGGAATAGTGTTCAATTTCACACTAACATAGCCTACAAATAATCTCTCACACAATGTAACACTGTCTATCAATAAAAGGGTGAAAGAAATACTGACGAGGCCCTAATATTGGCGAGGGGGCGGACAATTCAGATCATCTGTGTGTGTGTGTGTGTGTGTTTGCTTGGCCATCATCAAGTGGTGTTTCAGACTGGACGTGCTGCGATGATGATAGCTCAGTTCACAACGACAAAACACAGATCACTTGGTCTTGTCAATGGGACAATATGGCAACTTTTTAAAAGTAAACTTTCGATTCAGAATTTTAGGGCATCCATTTCGCCGTCTCGCGCTCATCATCCACTCAAAAGTAACATTACTATTTGGCCGACTCGCAAGCCGAAACGAGTCTGTGCGGCACAAAACGCCCTCGCGCTGCGCTCTGAAACCCTTTCATCTCAATGGCTTGCGCTGCGCGAGGACGTTTTGTTGCTTCTTCGACCAAAGCGCAAGCGGATCTAGACCGTAAACAAAACAACAGGCATGCCGCAAACACACGTTTGGGCTTGCGAGCCGGCTTTGAGTGGATGACGAGCGCGAGACGCCGAAATGGATCAGGACGCATGCCGCGTCCTGTTGCAAAAGCATGTGAAAAAAATACAAAGTTTGCTAGGACAAAAAGACCGTTAATCGCGCGATAAAAAAATTAACGCCGTTATAATGGGTTTGCGTTAACGCCGTTAATAACGCGTTAAACTGCCAGCCCTAGTATTTATACATTTATCAGCTGTTCTATATAAACATATAATGATTTTATATGTAATCTTTCAGTTCATACACTCCCTGATAACCAAAGCCAACACAATTTCTCTAACGTTAGCATGTGTTAGTTTTGAAATCTTGTATTGAAACCCTGAAACTTTTTTTTTTACTACGGTTATTAGCTGTAAATTTTCTTGAATGACTGCTTGGACTTGAAAAAGCATTATATAATTAGTTGGATTAAGGGTCATGTGTAACTTTTGTGTAACTTTTCAGGGGCGATTAGATTGGATTCATTCTTGTATTATGTCTGTAGACAATCTGCTCACAGTCGGTTTTGTTGGATCTTATGGAGAACCGTTGAACATGGATGTTCTTCCCTTTGGGCATTACAACACGATGTATTGAAAGCTTGGCAAAACTGTTTGTACTACTTTTCACTCTCTTGCTCGCCTTTTCTCTTCCTCTCGGCAGGGTGCTGGTTTTAACCTAATAATGAATGCCATAACAATCCATTTTTTCATCGCAAATCTACTTGTACTGCTGCCCTGAAGTCTTCCAGAGTGCTGGTGATGATCACACATGAAAATCAACTATGTTATCACTAAACGTTTTGAAGGAGAATGAATTTCAATATAACGATATGCCCATTTATACTCAATTTAATCGAATTTCATACACAGATAATTGTAATATATCTCTTGTGTGTAAATGCTCAATTACAACAAAAGATAAAGGTTTAACATCACAAATCTTTAAAAAGGGAGCCCTGCTGGATTCAAGGTCCGGTTTATCTTCCCTGATTTGATTTTACACTAATAAAATTGCATAACACAATCTAGGTTGCTCCAAGTCGAGAGAGAGAGAGAGAGAGAGAGGGGGGCAAACAAAAAAGCACTCCACAAAAATCCCGCTGCTTCTCAAACAATGAGCCTGGCAAAATTGGATTTCGTGTGGGAAGGGAATTAGATGAAAAAATGATAAACAAAAAATATGATTATGAAATGAATACATTTTTAAACTTCTTGCCCAGTAAGAGATGATGAAGCAGGCGGCAAACGTTTCAGCAGGGTGGGAGGTAAAGAAGCGGATCAAGCAGCGAAAGCCTTGAAAGGTGTGAGGTGTAACAAAGTGAATTAATTTTAAAGTGAATTCCATTGCTGCTGACAAAATGCGGCTGTGTGTTTCTTTACACAGCACGGGCTAGAAAAGCTTCTGTACTTTCCATCACACGGCAGGGTGAGCAGGTTGAGGTGAAAACAATTATGGCAATCATACAGTTCCGCACAAAAGAATCAAATGTCAAGAGCCGTTTTGGATTAATATGCTGTTCAACTTCGAGAAGAGGAGAGAGGTAAGGGAAGATAAGGTTTGAAGAAAAGAAGAGGATGTGGTGGTGGAAGGAAAGAGTAAGAGTAGGAAGAAGAAATTGGAAGGCGAAGGTGAAACGAAAAGGAAGTAGAAAGGAGAGGAGGAAGAAGGATAGATGAAAAGGAATGAGATCGACATGAGGAAGTAGAAGAGGGAAGGGGAAAAGAAAATGTAAAGAAAGATGAAGTAGAAGGGAAAAGTGGAAGAAACTATGAAAAGTTAAAATCAGGAAGAAGAAAAAGGAAAGAGGAATGTGCGGGAAATTGAAGAAGGTCAGAAAAGAAAGGAAAAAAGTGGAAGTAAGTAGAAGATACACTGATAAAAATATTTTGTGGTAAAGTAAATAGTTCAGAGAAAAAACAATGTAATTTGCATGAAAAAAAGTTAGTTCAGGCAAGAATAAAAAAAGTACACTGTAAAATCGAATTGTTCTCACTAAGATTTTTTTGTTAACTTTACTTAATGTCCAATAATTTGTTAAACTTAAAATTTCTTAGTAATCTGTACTGTTTGCATGTTTTGCCTTCGTTACTCAGAAAAACCTTGTAAACATTACTTGACTGGTTTGAGTACCATTTTGCCCCCTCCCCACACATTGCCATTGGCGGGGCAAATGGTTTATGAGGCAGGGCAATTCTTAATAGACTTTTCACTAATTTCTTCCACTTCTGCAGTCATCATTCTTATTTATTCATCTTGAAATAGTCATCTTGAATATTATTTTTTGTATATTTTGTAATTCTCTTCCAATTGATTGCAGTGATGCAACATGAAATCACAATTATTTGATTTAAAAAGAAGTGAAGCAATATTTTCTATATATATATATATATATATATATATATATATACACACACACACACACATTTTATTAATTCTTTAATTAATTGTTTGTTTGTTTGTTTGTTTGTTTGTTTTTTTCCTGTGGTCTCTTGTAAGTATAACCTCAATAACAGTAGCAAATAAAATTGTAATGGTAAAATAAAGCCAAAAACTGAAAAAAAAGCAATTAATTTATTCATGCCGCAATGCACTCTGGGGATACACTTCCTCAGATCACAGACAGAATTAAGTTGACAACTTAAATGGATTAATAAAATGTAACTTGATGCAATTAAGTTATGGTTACTTAATGAAATTAAGCCAACGAGTTTGCATAATAAAGTTAAGTAAACTGAACTAATTGTTTTTTACAGCGCAGTAGTACTCAATTCAATCATGTAGAAATGAAAGCGTAAATATCAACATTATAAAATTAAGTAAAATTACTCAACTTTTCTGATACTGGTGTTCCTATCATGCATTTAGAAAACATTTAGTGTGCATTGCACCGTCATTTGGTAACACACCCAAGCCACAGACGAGGGTAAAGCTGAGCTATGAGTAATCCTGTCGTATAACAAACATGTCATATCAAAACTATTCAAAACCCCAAAGTATTGGGAAAATTAGAGATTTCCTTTCGATTTTTCAACCGCAGTCAGAGAGAGGCCCTGAGCCAGGTTTCATTTATCTGCAGGCCACAATTCATAGGTATGCTGGATAGCATCAATAAACTATGATAGTTCAACCATTGCTTTACAAGACTGGGAATTGCTTCATATAAATGAAAGCTGGAGTGGAAGTTCTCCACAGGGTCATCCATCTACAGCCGGATGAACAGCTGATGGACTGTAG